TGAAATTTACCCTTATCTTCCTAGATTTGAACCCATCTATTATTACTTGGTATCATTTTGCCTTCTTGTCCATTAGAAGGTTCTATACCTACCCCGTTTATTCCCCCTTTTTTTTGTTCTGATGCTGTTGTCATTTACAGATTAACCTGTTTGGTTCCCGTTTGTAATTCTTTTGGTTTTGCATAGTCCTTAAGAGTTCATTTCCTAGGTTGGTATCTGGCTAGTACAATCCTGTGTCCTGTATTCAGCCTATGGTCTGATGTTGTTTGTTCTCAGATAGAAGGACTCCCTTTAATAAGTCTTGTAAGTTCGGTTTGGTTTGTACATTGTCCCTTAATTTCTGTTTATCTGGAAATGACCTAATTTCACCATCATATTTGAATGAGAGTTTTGCAGAATATATTATTCTTGGCTGGCAATTTTTTTCTTTCAAGGTTTTATGTATGTCATCCCATTGCCTTCTTGCCTGCATGGTTTCTGCTGAATAATCCAAGCTTAGTCTTATTGTTTCTCCTCTGTATGTGACTTTTTGCTTTTCTCGAGCTGCTGTCAGGATTCTTTGTTTGTCTTTGGTTTTAGCGAGTCTAATTATGACATGCCCTGGTGATTTTCTTTTGGGGTCTATCCTATATGGTGTTTGTAGACTTTCTTGGATGGTCAGCTTTTCATCTTTCATGATATTGGTGAAGTTTTCTGTCAGTAATTCTTCAATGATCCTCTCTGTGTTTTCTGTTTTCTCCCCCTGTTCTGGAACTCCAATCACTCACAGATTTTTGCTTTTGATTGTATCCCACATAATTCTCAGGGTTTCTTCATTTTTCTTGATTCTTTTTTCTGAGCTTTCCTGAAACAGAGTTGTATCCAAGTGTTTGTCATCAGTTCCACTGATCCTGTCTTCCACCATTTCAAATCTGCTTCTCAGTCCTTCTATGACACCGTCCATTTCTGAAATCTTGTTGTTTATCTTTTGGATTTCTAATTGTTGCTTGTGTATGATTTCTAGTTGTGAATTTAACATTTTGTTCCTGTATTATTTTCTTGAATTCTTCCATTTTTTTGTCTGTATTTTCCGTAAATTTGTCTATTTTTTCCTCATTTTTGCCTGCTTTTTGCTTCAACTCTTAGATAATTCTGAACATTAGAGATTTGAATTCCCTATAAGTTAGGTCTAGTGTCTTTTCTTCTACTGGAAGGTCATCTGGTTTTATTTTGGACACCTACTGGAACCATCGTGTCCTCTTTTTGTAAATGTTTTGATATTGTCTGCTGTCTTCAGGGCATTCAGTGGTTATTTTCCTCATTTATTGATTGTAGATTTGTTTGTTTCATCCTGCTTTTTTGTTTTATTTGGTTATGTCTGAGCAGGTGGACTGTGTGTTCTTTGTTATTTGCTCATCTGTGGGCACAATACTTTTCACCTCCTTCTCCAATGGACAGGGTCAGTCACTCAGATATGGTATAGCAGGGCAGGTCCAGTTGAAGGGTAGTTGCTGGAATGGGTTGTTTGTGGCACGTATCAGGGCTGACAGTGTAGACCAGGAATCAGTGCAGGGCAGGTTCCAGTAGGCCATGCCTGTGCTGCTCGGGAGTATGATGTTCAGCACACCGTGTAGGTAGGCAGGAAGGAGCGGGGTAGATTGTGATGTGTGGAGCTAAGATGGGTATCGAAACCATGAGAGAGAAGAGTGAGGAACAGGAGCCAAAAATATACACACACAAAAAAAAAGAGTGCTAAGGGAGCTTGTTACTGGAGTGGAGAGATGAGAGACTGAGAAATGGGGAAAAACAAAAATGAAAAAAAATAAAAATAAAAAGGGTAAAAGAAAAAAAATGACTACATTGAGAAACTGGAAATGAAGAAAGACAAAAAGGGAATAAGAGAGAGAGGAAAAAAAAAAAAAAACGAAGAAACAAACAAAAAAGAAACCAAAAAAAAAAAAAAATCAAGAAAAAAGAAATGCCCCATGGATGTCCCTGTGCATCTGCGCAGAGTAATGGAGTAGCTTCCAAGCCGTGTGGTACTGCCCGGCTAGAAGGGGCTCCCAAGCCAAGAAAAGAAAAAGAAAAGAAAGAAACAAATCAAAAGAGAACGAATTAGAGCAAACAAACAAAGAAAAAATCCCCGGGGCTCCCACCAGCGTGGTGGCATGGGTCTGGGAAGCAGTTTTACAGTTTAGCGGGGTTTTGCAGCCTTTCAGAAAGAAGGAAAGATGGCTCGCAGGGCCAGGTAGTTGAGAGACAGGAGGGGGAGGTGGTGAGAGGCAAGGAAGAAATCTAAAGAAGCAGAAAAAAGCAGCACAAGCAGCCAACAAACGGCACTCAGGGAGCTGGCCAGTGGGGGTGGGTGGAATCCAAGCGGCACCAGGGGGAAGCTCGTGCTTCCTGGCCAATACATTGCGGCTGCAGGAAGCAGAGGAGGCTAAGTGGGGGTGAGGAAAGGTGGGGGGTGGGAAAGCCTATATCACTGGTTACCGGTTGTTCTGTCTCATGCTGGAAGCTCCGTGAAGCTGATTTCTCGTACCCCATTTGCTGATCTCTGATAGGAGTCCAAGATGGCTGATTCATGCTGTGGTAGCTGATAGGGGACCTCTGCATGTATCTCTGCTTGCTCTCTGTTCTCAGTCAGTTTCTTATTCCATTCGGTGCTTGGTTCTGGCATCACCTTCCTGAAGACCTCTTTCATATTCTTATTTCTAAGATTGGAAATGAGAGGGGTCAACATGAGTGTGATGATCCCACAGATGATGAAAACCATCTTTTCCCAGTCGTTAGAAGTGGATGAAGGTGGTTGTAGCTATATATAGATGCCTGTTCCAAAAAAAAGAGATACTAGAATCAAGTGGGACTCTCATGTCCCGAAAGCTTTTTGTTATCCTTCTGCTGACTTGATTCTCAATACTTCTTGAATAATGATGCCATAGGAGAGGAAGATCAATGTGATTGGAATTAACAGAATTAATACACTAAAGAAAAAATCTCAGCCTCAATAGGTTTTGTGGCAGCACATGACAACTTGAGAAGGGCAAGGACCTCACCAAAGAAGTGGTCCACTTCCTTATGGCCACGGCAGAGCATGTTAAGGGTCAAGGAAAACTGCAATACAGAGTTGCTGAAACCAGTGAGCCATGAGAAGGCTGCCATTCTTAAGCAGAACAAATGTTTCATTGTGACTACATAGTGGAAAAAACACCAAAACCAAACCCGTTGCCATCAAGTCGATTCGACCCTACAGGACAGAGTAGAACTGCTCCATAGGGTTTCCAAGGAGTGGCTGGTGGATTTGAATTGGCAACCATTTGGTTAGCAGCCATAGTTCTTAACCACTGCACCGTTGGGGTCTGCAAATCGCCACAAATCTGTTAAAGGACATCACAGCCAGGAGAAGACACTCAGTAGCACCCAAGGCCAGGAAAATGATGAGCTGGGCCATGCAGCCACCTAGCTGATGGTCTTTTTGTTGCAACAGATATTTGCCAGCATATGAAGAACTGTGCTTGTGGGATAATAGAGATTTAAGATGGAGAGACTAGTGAGAAAGAAATATATAGGTGTATGAAGTTTGAGATTCAGAATGCATACCATCAAGATGGATACATTGCCAAAAATGGTGATTGTGTATAATATTAGCAGAACCCCAAAAAGGACATTTGCAGCCAGGATCTGTCTGAGAAGCCAAATGACTCTTTTGGGGATCCCTCATTTGCTGAAATCATGATGACTGACTTGTTTTTGATTACCTAAAAAATATAAAATAGTAAGGCAGTTAGTGAATATTTATTGGCTACTCTCTTGGAACGGAATTGAATTTAGATTAATTATAATGAGTAGCTCAGCACCCACCAAGCATAATTTATAGTCAATTAAATGGAATCCTTGAGAAACATAATATCCTAAATAAGTCATTACTTCGGTTATCTTATGGCTAGTTAGAAGTTTTCTATTCAGTAGTTATATTTCAATTACTTTATGAAGTAAATCATTTCATCTAAATGACATAAATACATAAAATTATATGCATAAAACATGGACAATTTAAGTGTTCAATACATATCAATCTTTCTCCCTTTTTCTTACCTCTTAACTCGACAGTACACAACAACCTACCTTAAAAAAATTTTAATAAATACTTCTTTTAATTCAATTATTTTTTAATGCAGGCTGAAAATGCTGAGGAAATTAATATACCGATATTATTAGAGTTTCATCTAAATCTAAAATTGATCTAAAGAAATTCTGCTTTAGTAACATCTTCAAGTGATTTTTTGAGTTGTCTTTTTCTCCTAAACGACACATGTGCTATCCATTCATACAAAGAGCTATTGCGAGTATTAGATGATTTGATTTTAGGTCATAAACTTATGGTTTACTTGTGATATATAGTAATGACCAGTGGTGATATCTCCCTATCTCCAAACACCTGGACAAATAAATATGACACCCTAATTGTTGCTTGATTAATATGTGACAGGCATTGCTTAATGGTTGAATTGCATCCTTTCTAATTTTCTCTTAAACTCTGATAAATAGGTATGACCCACATTTTATTGTGAAGTTCTTGGATGGTGCAAGCAGTTAATGTAGTTGGTTGCTGACCAGAAGGTTGTGGTTCGAGTTCACATAGAGGTGCCTTGGAAGAAAGGCCTCGTGATCTCCTTCTGAAGATCAGCCATTGAAATCCTTATGGAGCACAGTTCTACTCTGATACACATGGGTTCCCCATAAGTCAGAATTAACTTGACTGCAACTGGTAGTGGTACATTTTATTGCTAAAGTGACTTAATGAAAATAGTAATTTGCATATAGCATACTCGGGAATGGTGAAGCCAAGACACAACCTCAGAATTAGAGACTACTGATTCTTTTATATTGCATTTCCCCCTAAACACACAGATAACACATCAAGTTTGACTACATACTACGGTGGTTATAAGGTAAAATGTGGAGCAACACCATAAAATCAAATAATGAAGTTGATTTTCTTCAGTCTATTGAAGCTATCAGTTATTTAGTTATGTGACTCTTAAGTACACCTAAATTTCTTCAATCTGCTTTGCATGTTTAAATGCAATAACATTGAGATGACTTACATCATTTGAATTTAGCAGAATTTAAAAGGTTAAAAATAGAGAGCACTGTTAGATAAACTTAAGAAAGAAGATAAAATAAGGATACCAAACCTGTTGCCGTCAAGTTGATTCTGACTCCTAGTGCCCCTATAGGACAGAGTAGAACTACCCCATGGAGTTTCCAAGGAGCGCCTGGTGGATTTCAACTGTCAACCGTTTGGTTAGCAGCCATAGCTCTTAACCACTACGCCACCAGGGTTTCCAAAATAAGGATTAGCACACTTTAAACCAGAGTGAGATACATTTTCCAGAGTAAGAAATATTGATATATGAAGTATAACCTGGCAATGGAAAGTCTACATGGGAATGAATAGATGGCCCTTAAGATTTGTGACTTCTTTAATTATATGTTGTTTTAATTTTGATTTTTTAGTTATAGATATACATTATTTCTTGGCAAATAACAGTAGTATACTTTCAGCTGAAAAATGCAAGAGAATGTGAGATTTGACTTTTTCTAGTGCCTGTTATATGCCAATACCAGAAAGGAGCAGGTGAAAATTGAGGAGGGGGGCCTCACATTCCTCCAGAATTGGAGGTAGGAGACCCTGTGATGCTGAGACTGTGATTAAGTCACACAGAGAAGACAGAAAGCTGAACCCTGAGCCATGCAGGTGAGGGAGTGCTGAAATTGCAGAAGGGATTTACTCAGGACAGAAGCCTGGGCCCTACACGAGTGGGAGAAAACCAGGTAATGACAGACACTGAACTAAACCAAACCAAATCCATCACCGTCGAGTTGATTCCCACACGTAGTGACCCTGCAGGACAGAGTAGAACTGCCCTATAGGGTTTCCAAGGAGAGCCTGGTGGATTCAAACTACCCACCTTTTGGTTAACTGCCAAACTCTTAACCACTATGCCACCAGGGTTTCCAACACTTAACTAGGTTTTATTTACTTCTTTATATTTAATTTAGACGTTTACTATGTTGTTATGCATTTGTAGAAAGTACATTATTTCTCCTAAAGCCATCTGTAGAAAAATATTCTTTGCTTATTGTCTTAGTTATCTAGTGCTGCTATAACAGAAATACCACAAATAGGTGGCTTTAACAAACAGAAATTTATTTTCTCATAGTTTAGGAGGCTAGAAGTCTGAATTCAGAGTGCTGGCTCTAAAGGAAGACTTTCTCTGTTGGCTCTGGAGGAAGGTTCTTGTCTCTTCAGCTTCTGCTTCCTGGTTCCTTGGAGATCTCCATGTCTTGGCATCTATCTTACCCCATTTGTGCTCACTTGCGTGTTTAATATCTTTTATATCTCAAAAGAGACTGACTCAAGACACACACTATACTAATCTTGCCTCATTAACATAACAAATAGAACCCATTCCCAAACAGGATTATGACCACAGGCACAGAGATTAGGATTTACAACACATATTTTTGGAAGACATAATTCAATCCATAACAGAGACATTCGAGCCCCACCTCTGATGTAATGGGGAACATCAATCAGGAAAGCGACACAGGTCAGTGTGGGGAGGGGGCCCTGGTGGGCAAAGGTGGGTTAGTCCCACCATATGCTCACATTATGCTGATAGGAATGCAGACATATTCAGACACCTGTTAAAGAAAGAAAAGTCAGGGGTTCTTGAATCACAAAGTGGGATGTGAACAAATCGTGTATCACTCAGTCCCACGGACATAGTGAGGGTAACGAATGCCTAGGGATAATCTCTAAATTGCACTCCCCCAATTCGAGCACCCAGTGACAACCTCTAAGTTGTGTCTCTGTCCCTCCCAAATTTCCAGATGAACAGATATTGACAGCAGCAACAAGGAAAAGGAGAAGCCAAATGTGCCCTTGGTCCATGAGCGATTTCCTAGCATGCCTGTGTCCTGGGCAGCAGGCAGGCTGACAGGTGGGCTCCGGGGGTGCCCAGGCTGTGACGGGTGGCAGTGGCTTCAGCAGCACGAGTGGTGCCTTTGGGCCAGTGAATCATCCCAGTAGATATCGAGAGCCGCAGCAGCAGAGAACAGCGCAGAAACATATCTGAAGTGGGCACCAGCTTTCTGGAGCGGCTCAGGTCCTGCGTAGTTTGCTCTTGGATGTGTCTCTGGACCGTGTGGTGTCACCCCCTCTGACAGTGTCACTTGGTGCAATCCTCATCCCTCTAGTGACGCCACTGGCGCCCCCTGGGACTCTGGTTAGGCCCACACAGGCAGCAGTCTTATGCTACAGAAGAAAAGAATCATGAACAAATTCAGGTCAGTCATTTTAAGTGTTGACACTCTGAACAGCCCACTGCAATCTCAAAATGTCCAAATCCAAAGAATCCCTATAACCCAGTCGTGTCCTCTCTGCTCCAAACCTTCCCCCACTGCAGGCTCCCCAGTGTCTCATCTTTACACATCAGAGCCCTGGGCACTGTCGCTGCCTGGAGAAGAACAAAAACAGGATCTGATCAGAGCCCACAGGAGATGAGACTAGGAAGAACGATGTCATGGACTGAATTGTGTCCCCCCAAAAATATGTGTATCAATTTGGCTAGGCTATGATTCCCAGTATTGTGTGACTGTCCACCATTTTGTCATCTGATGTGATTTTCTCGTATGTTGTAAATCCTACCTCTATGATGTTAATGAGGTGGGATAGGCAGCAGTTGTGTTAGTGAGGCAGGACCCAATTGGCAAGATTGGATTGTGTCTTGAGCCAATCTCTTTTGAGATATAAAAGAGAAAAGCAAGCAGAGAGACAGGGGGACCTCATGCCACCAAGAAAGCAGTGCTGGGAGCAGAGCATGTCTTAGTCCAGGGGAAGACTGATGAGAAGGACCTTCCTCCAGAGCAGAGAGAGAGAGAAGGCCTTCTCCTGGAGCTGATGCCCTGAATTTGAACTTTTAGCTTACTTTTTTGTGAGGAAATAAATTTCTCTTTGTTAAAGCCATCCACTTGTGGTATTTCTGTTACAGCAGCACTAGATAACCAAGATAAATGAGAATTATGGGGTAAGGAGGCTCCCCCATGGGCTCCCATCTACACTATCCCAAGGGTCTCAGGATCAGCCTCACTCCTTCCACAGTTACTTGCAGCTTGAGCATATCTCCCTTCTTGTCCTTGTCTCCAGTGGAAAGAAAGGATCCTGTCTGAGATTGGGGAGGTGTTAGGACCATAAGGTCCTAGAGGAGCTGGCTAGTCCTGGACCCCAAAGAAGTTTCCAGAACTGGCTACAGACTCAGGGCAGGATAAGGAAACACAAGGATAGATGTGCAGGGACTGGGCCAACCACCCTCCTGGAAGTCTGTCCTAAGCAGGAACCTTCCCGCGTGATCTGCCACTATTGGGAATCAGGTCTGCATCACCAGAACCATTAAGGTGAAAGATTTGTCCTTCATCTTCACATGTGCTTTACAAAAGGGTAATTGTTAGCACACAGGGTGTCAGACTGGGTCAGCACATGTGTGGATGGTACCTCCCATAATGAGGCAGGATGGCAATCTCCTACTTGGGACTTGAAACCCCCCTGTGGAACAAGAAAACTCAAACCCCACCCCCATCTCTACCTCCTCTCTTCTTCCTCCAGATCACAACAGCTACAGTTCCACTGACCCCAACTCCAAGAACCAGGCCAGCACCAATTGTCATGAAGGTGGTAGAATGGGAAGGCAATTCTGGAAAGAGAAAGAAGGTGAGGAGCCCTGACTCCTTGGAGGTCTCCAGTAGGGCTCCTGTTGTCCCTGAGAAGAAGCTGCACTATCATCCCCCTCTGTCTTAGTTATTTAGTGCCTGTATAACAGAAATACCACAAGTGGATGGCTTTAAGAAACAGAAATTTATTTTCTCACAGTTTAGGAGGCTAGAAGTCTGAATTCAGGATGCTGGCTCTAGGGGAAGGCATTCTCTCTCTGTCGGCGCTGGAGGAAGGTCCTTGTCTCTTCAGCTTCTGCTCCCTGGTTCCTTGGAAATCTCCATGTGTCTTGGCATCTATCTTACCCCATTTCTGCTCACTCACTTGCTTGTTTAATCTTTTTTATATCTCAAGAGATTGACTCAAGATGCATCCTACACTAATCCTGCCTCATTAACATAACAAAGACAGCCCATTCCCAAATGGGATTGTAACCACAGGCATAGAGGTTACCATTAACAACACATATTTTTGGGGGACATAATTCAATCCATTAACACCCTTCTTACCCAATTTCAGAGTGAGCCCCTCGTGCTGCACATGGCACATGTATCTCTCCTCCTCTCCAGAGAGCACCACCAAGGCAGCCCACTTCTGGAAGGTCCCGTCCCCCGCAGGCCTGGTCTCCACAAGTTCCATGTCCTGGGTCTGGTCCTTCCCGTCCTGCTGCCAGGTCAGGGTGATCTCTGGTGGGTAGAAGTTCAGCGCCCAGCACCTCAGTATGGTCTCATGGTCAGAGATGTCGTGGTCGGTGATGTGTGTCTTTGGAGGCACTGAGGGGGAAGGGTCAGAAAATTTAGGAACTCTGCATTACCTCCCATGGACCACTTGAGCAGGGCTCATCTGATCATCCTTAGAATGGACAGGGCAATTAGGGGTGAGGAAAGGAGTGCAAAACCCAGACACCAGTCTGGACCAGGGACCTGGGATAATCTCCTATTCCTTGGTAAGCTAGAATCAGGGTGACGTAGCCCAGAGTAGGAGACTCCAGGTGTCTGAGGGGGAGAACAGGGATTTCTAGTTCTGACTTGAGTAGAGGCCTAGAAACTCAGAAAAGCTGGAATCAGATCTCCAGACTCATTGGGTGTGGAGCAGAGAACAAGGCTTGAGGGAGAAAGTCCCCGGTGGTTCCCAAGGTCAATTCCAGGATCAGAGGGAACTGCTGATCAGTCAGGAATCATCTCTCCTACTACACCCAGAGAGAGCAGATCCCTTAACTGTCTCTGAGAGAAAGGGGGGGCTCCTGTTGGCAAGTCACTCTCTGGTACAGGATCTGGAAATCTGGGCTAACTCCTCACTCTCCACACCCATGTGATGGGGTATTCTGTAGTGTATCTCATTTTTCTCCCCCCCTTTTGAGAGGCCGGCAGGGCAGACACAGGCCCAGCTCAAAGGGAGTTCATTGAGGGGCCCCACGTCCCTTGTACCTAAACGCTGCAGTGATTCCTTCCCATTCTCCAGGTATCTGTGAAAGGACTCCACGCACTCCCCCTTCAAGTAAATCGTTAAATGCACTTCATCTCTGGCCTCCTCCCACTTGCGCTGGGTGATCTGAGCGGCCATGTCCGCCGCCTTCCGGAAGCGCACGTCTTCATTCAGGGCGATGTAATTGGTGCCGTAGTATGCAGGCTGATAGAACCCACGGACATAGAGTGCATCCAGCCCCACTTCGCAGCCGTACATCCTCTGGAAAGTGTGAGACCCTGGCCCCGCCCCCGTGATCAGCCCCGCCCCGCCCCCGCAACCCCAAAGAACTGTAATTGATCAGAGCCCATATGGTTCTAAACTGAAAAGGTCTTTTCTCCTGCGGAGCAGCTGGTAGGTTCCAACCACTGACCTTTGGATTAGTAGCCAAGAGCTTAACCATTGTGCCACGAGGGCTCGTTAGAATTTCTGTTCACTCCTACAGATTATTGAGGAAGCCAAAGAGATTATGTTTATGTGGGTTATATCTACTGATATTAACCATATAAGAAATAGAAACAGAATTAAAAAATTTAAATTAACTTAAAATAACAATAATTCATTAAAAGTTAACAGAGATATTTTCATAAAAAATAAATATTTTCCAAAATAAATGTAGTGAGAAGAGTGGATCATTTTACATTCTTACACATCTCGTTCTTAACTGTGTCAATAGAAGACTTCTGGATTTTCAAATCTGCTTCTGCATTCAATCTGTTATTTTGGTTGCAGTGTATACAAAAAAATCCAGCTTCACACAAACATGAAGTTAGAAAAGGGAGGAACATTTTTAATAGCCTTTCCCAGTAATTGTGAAGGTTCATCTTTGATACTTCAGTAAAACTACAAAAGTGATAATTTTTAAAAAATTTATTTATTGTGCTTTAGGTGAAAGTTTACAGCTCAAGTTACTTTCTCATACAAAAACGTATACACATATTGTTATGTAACACTATTTGCAATCCCTATAATGTGACAGCGCACTTCCCCTTCCACCCTGGGTTTCCCGTGTCCATCCAACCAGCTCCGGTTCCTTCCTGCCTTCTCATCCTGCCTCTGGACAGAAGCCACCCATTTGGTCTTGTGTAGCTGCTTGAAATAAGAAGCACACTCTTCAGAGGTATTATTTTATGTTTTCTACTCCAGCCTAATCTTTGTCTGAAGAATGGGCTTCAGGAATGATTTTAGTTCTGGGTTAACATGGCATCCAGGGGCCATGGCTTCAAGGGTTCCTCCGGTCTCAGTCAGACAATTAAGTCTGGACATTTTACATGAATTTGAGTTCTGCTCCACAGTTTTCTCTTGCTCTGTCAGGGACTTTCTGTTGTGTTCCTTGTCAGGGCAGTCATTGGAGGTAGCCAGGCACCATTGAGTTCTCTGGTCTCAGGCTGATGGAGTCTCTGGTTTATGTGGCCCTTTTATCCCTAGGGCTAATATTTCCCTTGTGTCATTGGTGTTCTTCATTCTCCTTTGCTCCAGTGGGTTGGGACCAATTGATGCATTTTAGATGGCCCCTTGCAAGCTTTTAAGACCCCAGACACCACTCACCAAAGTGGGATGCGGAACATTTTCTTAATAAACTTTGTTATGCCAGTTGACCTAGATGTCCCCCAAAACCATGGTCCCCAGATCCGAGCCCCAGCTACTCTGTTTCTTGAAGTGTTTTGCTGTGTTCAGGAAACATCTTAGCTTTTGCTTTAGTCCAGTTGTGCTGACTTCCTCTGTATTGTGTGTTGTCCTTCCCTTCATCAGAGATGATTGTTGTCTACTATTCTAGTTAGTAAATTCCCCTCTTCCTCCCTCCCTACCCTTGTAACCATCAAAGAATGTTTTCTTCTGTGTTACAACCTTTTCTTGAGATCTTATAATAGTGGTCTCATACAATATTTGTCTTTTTGTGACTGACTAATTTCACTCAGCATGATGCCTTTCAGATTCATCCATGTTGTGAGATGTTTCGAAGATTCATCATTGTTCTTTATCATTGCAAAGTACTCCATTGTGTGTATGAACCATAATTTGTTTATTCATTGATCTGTTGCTAGGCACTTAGGTTGCTTCCATCTTTTTGCTATTGTGACCAGTGCTGCAATGAACATGGGTGTGCATATATCTATTCGTGTGACAGCTCTTATTTCTCTAGAATATATTCCAGGGAGTGGGATTGCTTCTATTTCTACCTTTTTAAGGAGCACCAAATTGATTTCCAAAGTGGTTGTACCATTTTACATTCCCACCAGCAATGCATAAGTGTTCTAGTCTCTCCACAAATCTCCAGCATTTATTATTTTGTGTTTTTTGGATTAGTGCCAGCTTTGTTGGGGTGAGATGGTATTTTACTGTAGTTTTGATTTGCATTTCTCTAATGGCTAATGATTGTGAGCATTTCCTCATGTATCTGTTAGCTGCCTGAATGCTTCTTTAGTGAAGTGTCTGTTCGGATCCTTTGCCTGTTTTTTAATTGGGTTTTTTGTCTTTTTGTTGTTGAGGTGTTCCAGTATCTTGTAGATTTTAGAGATTAGACTCTGATCAGATATGTTGTAGCCAAAATTTTTTTCCGAGTCTGTAGGTCCTCTCTTTACTCTTTTGGTGAAGTCTTATGATGAGCATAAATGTTTGGTTTTTAGGAGCTCCCAGTTATCTAGTTTTTCTTCTGGTGTTTGTGCATTGTTACTTATGGCTTGTATTCTGTTTATGCCATGTATTAAGACTCCTAGCATTGTCCCTAATTTTTCTTCCATGATCTTTATTGTTTTCAATTTTATATTTAGGTCTTTGATCCATTTTGAGTGAGTTTTTGTACATGGTGTGAGGTATGGGTCTTGTTTCAGTTTTTTGCAGATGGATATCCAGTTATGCCAGCACCATTTGTTAAAGAGACTGTATTTTCCCCATGTAACTGACTTTGGGCCTTTGTCAAATATCAGCTGCTCATAGGTGGATGAATTTATGTCTGGATTCTCAATTCTGTTCCATCGGTCAATGTATCTGTTGTTGTACCAGTACCAGGCTGTTTTGACTACCGTGGTGGTATAATAGGTTCTAAAATCGGGTAGTGTGAGGCCTCCTACTTTTTTCTTCTTCTTGAGTAATGCTTTACTTATCCAGGGCCTCTTCCCTTTCCATATAAAGGTGGTGATTTGTTTCTCCATTTCGTCAAAAAACGTTGTTGGAAATTGGATCAGGATTTCATTGTATCTGTAATTCGCTTTGGGTAGAATTGACATTTTCACAATGTTGAATCTTCCTATCCATATTTTTTTCACTTATGTAAGTTTCTTTTGGTTTCTTGCAGTAGTATCTTATTTTCTTTGTATAGGTCTTTTACGTCTCTGGTTAGATTTATTTCTAAGTATTTTACTTTCTTGGGGGTTATCATAAATGGTATTGATTTGGTGATTTCCTTTTCAAAGTTCTCTTTGTTGGTGTAGAGGAATCCAACTGTTTTTTATATGTTTATATTGTATCCTGATACTTTGCTGAAATCTTCTGTTTGTTCCAGTAGTTTTCTTGTGAATTCTTTAGGGTTTTCTGTGTATAAGATCATATCATCTGCAAATAGGGATACTTTTACTTCTTCCTTACCAATTTGGATGTCCTTTTTTTTCTATTTCTTGCCAGGACCTCCAGCACAATGTTGAATAAGAGTGGTGATAAAGGACATCCTTTTCTGGTTCACGTTCTCAAGGGGAATGCTTTCAGCCTCTCTCCATTTAGGATGATGTTGGTTGTTGGCTTTGTATAAATGACTTTAATTATGTTGAGGAATTTCCTTTCATGGATTGAGTTGTGTCCCCCAAAAATATCTGTCAGCTTGGCTGGGTCATGATTCCCAGTGTTGTATGATTGTGTAATCTGATGTGATTTCCTTATGTGTTGTAAACTCTTATCACTATGATGAGATTATATGTGATCTCCTTATATGTTGTAAATTCTTTCACCGTGATGAGGTTATACTGATGAGGTTGGCAAGATTATATAGTGTCTTAATGGAATCTCTTTTGAGATATAAAAGAGAGAAGTGAGCAGAGACACATAGGAACCTCATACCACCAAGAAAGCAGTGCCGGGAGCAGAGCATGTCCTTTGGACCTGAGGTTCCTGCGTTGAGATGCTCCCAGACCAAAGGAAGACTGATGCATCACAAGGACCTTCCCCCAGAGCCGACAGAGAGAGAAAGTGTTCCCCTAGAGCTGACGCCCTGAATTTGGACTTATAGCCTACTGGACTGTGAGAGAATGAACTTCTCTTTGTTAAAACCATCCACTTGTGGTATTTCTGTTAGAGCAGCACTAGATGACTAAGACACCTTCTATTCCTGTTTTGTTGAGAGTTTTTATCATGAATGGGTGTTGGACTTCGTCAAATGCCATTTCTGCAGCAATTGATAAGATCATGTGATTCTTTTTATGTGATGGATTACATTGATTGTTTTTCTAATGTAGAACCATCCCTGCATACCTGGTGTGAATCCCACTTGGTCATGGTGAATTATTTTTTTATGCGTTGAATTCTATTGGCTAGAATTTTGTTGAGGTTTTTTGCGTCTATGTTCATGAGGGATATCGGTCTGTAATTTTCTTTTTTTGTGGTGTCTTTACCTGGTTTTGGTATCAGGGTTATGCTGGCTTCATAGAATGAGTTTGGGAGTATTCCATCCTTTTCTATGCTCTGAAATACCTTTAACAGTACTGGTGTTAACTCTTCTCTGAAAGTTTGGTAGAACTCTCCAGTGAAGCTGTCAGGACCAGGGCTTTGTCTTTTTGTTGGGAGTTTTTTAAATTACCTCTTCAATTGCTTCTTGTGTTACAGGTTTATTCAGCTTTCCTAACTCGGTTTGTGTTAGTGTAGTAGGTAGTGTGTTTCTAGAAATTTTTCTTTCCTCTAGGTTTTCAAATTTGTTGGAGTACAATTTTTCATAGTATTCCGTTATGATTCTTTTAATTTCAATTGGGCCTGTTGTGGTATCACCCTTCTCATTTCTTATTCAGGTTATTTGCTTCCTCTCCTGTTTTTCTTTTGTCAGTTTGGCCAATGATTTATTGATTTTGTTGATCTTTTCAAAGAACCAGCTTTTGGTCTTATTGACTCTTTCAGTTGTTTTTCTATTTTCTATTTCATTTATTTCTACTCTAATTTTTATTATTTCCTTTCTTCTGGTGTTTGAGGGCTTCTTTTGCTGCTCTCTTTCTGTTTGTTCAAATTGTAAGGTTAATGTT